TCCCTGGGTGGCCTCCTAATCCATCCTTGTTGTAAAATAGGTCACAAACTGTTAACCATTCAATCAAAATGTCTCGCCCTTGGTGAGAGTGGTGAGGCAGATGTGGCCTTCTGGGGTCTCTGAAACTAAACATGATGGGTGATCTCCAGTATGGAATTATGCATTTTTACCCTCCATGTGACTAAGGAGTAGATTGTGTATGAAAAATAATACAATACAACTGCACCATGTTCTGTATCATGGGGGTATTTGTACATCTTACACAGGTTGGAGGAGATTGTATATCTTACCCAGGTTGCTTTTCCTGCTGCAGAACTGTTAAAAATTGAGAGGTGCTGGTGTGACAGATGGGAGCCCTCATCCCTCCAACACACTGAGGCAGAAAAAGCTGCCTTCTCTGCTACTTATCTAGGAGGAAGACGCATTGCTACCCTCTGCAAGGCAAATCAGTCTTAGCTTGAAAAGTCAGCTTGTTTCATGGCTGAATAAGGAAACGCTCCTTCCACGCTGCTCTGCTTCTCTTGTGATTGGGCTTCCTGTCCTCATTAGACCTGCTTTGAATTATGTTCTCCAGTGGGTGGTACGTTGGACGGAGGCACTTCCTTAATCAGCTGGGGTGCCAATTTGCTCTCTGCCGCTGGTCATCTGGGAGCAGCATCAGCCCTCGGGATGCAGGTGCAGCTGAACTTGTGTGCGGCTTGCAACTCAGTTCTCTCTGCATCTTCCCAGAAGCCCGCAAACACAACATGGGTGTGCAGGTCCACAGTTCTCAGTGTGGAGGTGTTGGCTCCTTCCTTGCCATCTTGCTGTGGCTCCTCTGCATAGAATTTAATGGAGGGGAAGGGGTCAAAGTACAGCTTTTTACACCACTGCACTATAGCATGTGCCTCATTCTGCTGCCTTGGCAAAGTTCTTTCAGGCATGTGGCAGAGCTTCCTGCCCACACCCTCATGGAAACATCTTTGCTCCTCTCAAGATGAAAGCATCTGCAGAGAAAGGCAGAACATCTCGGCCTTGGCTTTGGATTTTTTGCACCAATTTCTCTCTCCTCCCCAATGGATTCACGCTGGTTTCTGTCTTGTGGTCTTGTTTGATGGGATGCAATGTAAGGCAGTCTAGGGTCCCAGGCTGACCCTAATGTCACGTGCAGGCCAAGATCTTCCATAAAAGCAAAAGTCTTTCTCAATTCACCAGGCAGCATCTTGTTCAGTCAGCATCTGAAGCTCGGGCACTGAGAGGAGTACAAGGTAAGGATTTTCTCCAGTGGGGGAAATGGCCAGTGCCTGAGAGCTCCATTTGGTCTGCTGAAAGACAGCTTCAGGTTGGTTCCTCTTGGCCTCAGCTGGAGCAGGAATAAATGAGTGGAGCTGCCAAAGGATAATGGCCCTTGAGATCATGGGGGCACAGAGCCAGTTGGGTAGTGGAGAAATGTTTTAAGCTACAAGACCATATTGAACTGGATCTCAAGGCCTCTAACTCAACGCCTGGGTGAGTTAATGTTCAACTGGGCCCAAAAGCTGAGAAGCTTGGTGCCAATCATACAGTATTTTTGTTAGTAATGGTCATTGGCTCCCTATCCTGGCCATGTTACCTTACTAAAGTTGGCACTTTCTTTTCCTTTTTTAATAGTTGGAGTTCAGAGTAGATTTTTGCACACCTGTAAATGGCAAGAGCAAACCAATTTTCAGCAGGGGTGGTTGGAGAATCTCTGGTGACTGCAGAATTGGTCTACATGCAGTCTCAGGGTCTCAGATTGCTCACCTCTGGAAATAAGTCATGACTGAACAAGTTATGAAATACGAACCCACGGGCTTCTGTCTGGTCTATGCCTCTAGTGAAAGGCTGTGGCTGTAACAATATGGAGGTAGGTCTTGTCTCTTGCATTTCCAGGTGAACAAGAGCAGTATAAATTGTGAGAAGAGGAAGTAGATGGAGGTGCCATTAGAAGAGGGAAAGGGAAAGGGAAAGGCTTAAGTCACTGTTGTAGACCAGCAGTCTCAAAGGAAAAGGCTTGGACCGCCTCTCAGCTCCAGGGTTTGGAGACTCCTTTCCAGAGATTCTGTGTCTTCAGTTCCTCCAAAGAGCCGGGTGAAACTTAGTAATTCAGAAGAAAGGGAGCTCATCAGAGCCATGTTTATCTTCTGTATGTATGACCCTCTGGCAGAACTAGAGAGCAGCTTCAGCTTGATTCATGGTGAGCATTATCCCAAAGATGAGGTTGGTGAAATTACTTCTGAAGCTTTCCTGTCATGCCTGGAGATGCTCTTGGCATCTTTCTAGAGCTTTGCTCAGGTTAACCAAGGGCTGCCTTGTAGTCAGTGGGCTGTGAGCCAAGGTTATCCAGGGTGTTGTTTGGAGTTGTTACAGTGATCAGGTTAGTCCTATTTTCCTTCTTTCCACAGCTGAGGAAGTGAGCAAACAAGAGGAGTCTTATATGGGGGAAGAGAACAGTCTCTGTTTCAAGGGATCATAAATCTAGACCTCCCTCCCTCCTCCCCATGCAGGATCAGGCGGTTTTGTGCCAACAGTAGATTGTTTTTTCCCACTCTGGTGCTGAGGCATCACAGTGGAAACCTGGCTACTAGTTACACTTCCCTCATTTTCCCTTCTACGTACCTGAAAGTTAGAAGGACTAGAAACAGCCTCTTGAAGGAGCCACATTTCCCAGTTGTTTGTTATGGAGCAATTTATGAGAGGGTATTTCAATACTAGCATCCCAATTATTGAAACACACACACACACACATATAATTTGCACCAAATCTAGTTAGCTTTTAGCACCAACCAAAGACCCATCTATTCATTCCTGTTTTGGATTGAGCCTACATTGCAATGCATTGAGTGTGCTGAAGTCATTGCTAACACAACTCTTGGTCCATGGCGTCTACTTTGTTACTTGCACATGTAATTTGGGTTTTATTGTAACTTACTTTAGAATGAGGTTTAAAGCAAAGGAGGCTACTTTTCAAATAGGCAAATCTGTGGCAGAATGCGAGGCATGAATATTGCATTTATTGCTGGAATGACAGTGAGCTCCATTTGTACCTTCCAGCATGTTAGAAGCCCCTGTGAACTTACAGGCCATCCTGCCAAGAAGGTTTGGTCACCTGTCAAATGAGCTCCTTGCTCAGAAGTCTTCCTCCCTGTTCTCTGGGATCCTGTCTCGAGTAGACATTGTAGGAGGAGAGCCATGTTAGTCTGTGGTGGCAAAAGTCAGGAGGAGTCTGGTAGCACCCTTTCCAACCAACAAATGTTATCAAAAGGCAGAAACTAAGGCCTGGATATTGCTAGTGAAGTTTCATTCAGTAATTTTCTTAATTGACAAGGTCTCTTAAAGTGTTAGCATTTTTGAGGAATGGGGTTCAGCTAAAATACAGAATTGATCTAGACATGAGTTGGGCAACCTTGGGAGGCTGCATCACACATGATCAACTTTGGTTTTAGGGGCAGTGGCCAGGAGGTCCTTCACTGTTTAACAGATGACTTTTTTAGGACTTGCACTAGAGGTTCTCTTATCTCCCTCTGCAAGATGAGGGAAATTGCATGAACAGTTTTCAGTAGTTGTATTCAGAACAAACTATGGCAACTGCAAAATGCACGGGTGGCCCAAGGTTCCAGGTAGAGTGCACCAAGATAGCGAGAACCTGTTAGGAAGTGTTTGTTTCAGTTGCCTCAAATTAGGACAAAGTTTTTGTTTTTTAAAAAGAAGGTCCAGTTCTGTCGTGTTGTGTCAGAACATTTATAAAACAGGGAAGGAAAATAGGTCCACACACACACACACATACACCCCTGACATGGAAAGTTCTTACACAGTATGGTGCAGTATTTGAGAAGGTCAGGTGAATCAATACTCTTCCTCCAAGGGACAAAAATGTTACGTGAAATTGCTCTTGGGACTTAGATTGTAACATTTTGGATTTCCCCACATAGTTCTGTTTATAGGCTGTTGACTTCAGTGGATAAGAAACAACAGAGAAAACAGATACTGAGATAGGGTTTTGTAAGAAGAAAGCTATAGGCGTGTGAATGGAGAGGAGGGAATCTTAAATGTGCATTGTGTCTCTGGGCCCCTCAGATTCTTTAAAGCAGTGTTTTCAGCCTTGGCAACTTTAAGATGTGTGGACTTCAGCTAGATCCTCAAAGCAAACTATACATCTTAATAAATATCCAACCCCCAAATTGTGATAGAACAGCAATCCACTAAAAGCCACCTGCTGGCTGGTGAATTCTAGGAGATGAGGTCCACACATCTTAAAATTGCCAAGGTTGAAAAACACTTGGCAAAAAGCAACCAAAGTTCTGATTCTGCAAAACATGGGTTGCATTATTAGCCAGGAATCAGGTGGTGCATAACGACTGCATGTCTCTTTTAAAGCAAGCAGCCATGGGAGGTGGCTTACAGGATACAGCTATCGATAACAGCTTTGGACCCCTCCTCTGCCTTTTTTCTTATGCAAAACCTCTCCTTCCCCTTGTCTAGCTCATTCCCTCAACTGAAATTACAAGTCTGCTTCCTTACTGCAAATGGGACCCAGAAAAACGGTTGGAATGTATGCATGCATGCATAACTATACTGGTTTTGCAAATACAATGCTACTTTAGAAAGTAGGTCATGGTAAGAGCTGCTGTTTGGGTTTAAAGCAGATTTACTCATGCTGAATGCCGGTGTAATTCCCCCCTCACCAGTATTTTAAAGGAAGAAAATGTGTTGCTGCCATGCAATTGCCATGCGCTACATGTTGATGCAGAAATAGGTATTCCTTCGATGTTGGTGTGCCTCACAGCAGCCAGTAGGGCTTATGTTTTTTAAACGTGACAACTTAAGATGTGTGGGCTTCAATTCCCAGAATTCCATTTGTGTCTGGCCATTAACAGACCCAAATAACAGCTCCTAAAATATGTTGCTACAATGTGATGTCATACAACCCAAGCATTAAAAGTCAACTGGTATTTGCAATTAGCCGCTTAATTATTTTTAACTTGGGTATTCTCTTCTTCTAGGTGTTTTATTGGCGGTGTGCCATGCCTTGGAGAATACAACATCAGCCTTGAGGGGTGAGTTTATTGCATCACAAGATGTAATATCTTAAAACTTTACCAGTGGTCGCTCTTGTCTTAGGATGGGGCTGGGTGCTAACCATGAGCCACTCTCAGGGTCAGATACATGGAAGACAGCCTTGGCTTTGAAAGCTCCCCATCAGTCATCCCCAGCCAGGTGCCTTCCAGGTAGATTGGGCTAGTGGCCAGTTGTAGGTGGGGAAGGCTATAGCCCCATGTGCTTGGAGGGCCCAGGCGATTTCCTCTGACTGGTTTGCATAGTCTGTTAGACTAGACTGCAGTGGAGTTGGGTTTGCAATTCAACATCTTGTGGGAACTCAGCTGTTATCTTTGCATGTGGTCTGGACCAGACCATCACATTATGCTCCCAGTGTATGGGTTGTTTGGCCCACCGTGTTCTCCAAATGTAGCAGTTGAGTGTTGCAGTCTTGAGTTTAAGGCTTAGCACAGGGCATTAACCTGACCCTTGCATTGAAGCTCACTCTGGAATCATCTGAAGAAGCTCTCTACCCCTGCAAGCTAGCCACAGTTGCCTCGTGTCAGATAAATAATAGCCTGGCTTTTGTTGATAGCCGTCTTTTAAGAAGTGCAGCTGCTAGGCTGAGGGATACATCAGGTGGCTTTCAGCAGATTGCTGCTCTATCACAATGTGGGGATTGGATGTTATTCAGAACCGTGCACTGGAGAACTTTACCTTGGGGTTGTGCAGCCAGGACCCCATGGTAAAACCACTCTAAAGCAGGCTCAGGGAAGACTGGATCTTTTTGGCATCAGTAGAATGCTAAAAACAAGTGATCCAGGTGTTGCCTTCACAACCTTTATATACTTGTAAGGAAAAGTTTAAACCCTGGAAAAGGCCAGCTAGTCTGACACCTGGGTGAAGCTTTCCCATGTTTCATTTAGAGAAGGGAATTCTTTCCTCCCTGCTAACCCCCAAACACTATTCCTGCCCAAAAGTCTTACGTAACCTTCTCTCTTAATCTCCTTGATCCCTGTCGAACAAACTCCAGCGGTTTTTCCAACATACTTTTGGAGGGCATTGCTTACTCATTGCTAAAATATGCAGGTGCGGTTCCAGACATCTTTGTGGTTGATTTTTCTCACAGCGGCTTTCAGTGGCATCTTGTTTGGCGGCTTCCAGTGGTGTTGATGCTGCTGAGAAAAACTTTGGTGTCAGCGTTTGCTCCATCACTGTTTCTTTGGAAACATTTTGCTAACAAAGGAGGCAAGCGTCTGGTACCACCTATGTGAGAGCAGCGCCTTTCTTGTTCCTCATCCTCATTTCTGCCAGGCGGAATGACTTCATCAGGACTGGCAGTTCCGTGATGACCTAGAACAAGTGACATTCCTCTCTTTCAGCTCTGTTTTGATTGTATGTTTGGATCCATCATGGTGCACCCCTTATGCACTTAGTAAAATGTTTCTGCTGATGATGGTTGGGCTTTTAATGTGCTGAAGTAGTGATCCTTTTATTATAGTAACTGACCAGGTTCTTCTGGGCCTCACATTTTAAGAAGGATTCAGAGAAACTGGACCTGGTTCAGAGAAGGGCAGTGAAGATGATCAGGAGACAAGGGACTTACCAGGAGAACTTGAAGGAGCTGGGGATGTTTAGCCTGGTAAGAAGATGACTGCAGAAGGATGCCTAAAAGGATACCACAGAGAAGGCTGGTGTCTCTTACGTCTCATCAGAGTGCAAGATATAGAATGATGGATTTAAAGTATGGGATGGAAGATTCCAATTCTGTTAGGACAAGTAAGAACAGTGGGACCAGCGATTCAAAGAGGTGATGGGCACCTCTTTGCTGGAAGCATTCAAGCAAAGCTGGAGAATCATTTGCTGCTAGGAAGGCTGATCATTGGAGTTCCTGCACAGGAAGGTGGGACTTAGTGTCCTCAGTGACCCCTTTCAAGTTGGTCATTCTGTAAAGCAATGAGGGGGGCACCTCTAGTTAATCAATGGTGATTCCAGTAAGCAGTCATGTCCTTTCTCTGTGTGGCCTTAAAACTTTGGCTTTGAAAGTTATCTTTGGGCACAGCTGATGGGAGATGGGAAGGAGGCAGCAGATCCTTCGGATTTTTCCTGCTATCCCAATATGCTGTTGGGCCTCCACATCTGGAATCCTTAGGATGAAAAAAACATGTTTTCGGAAGTAGCCATCAACTTTCATAAAGATCCTCACAGAACATTGAGCTAATTTCTTATTGGTACATACAGCAGCCATATGCTGAGCCCATCTCTCTCCTCATTGGCAGTAGCTTTTCTGGGCTGCAGCTGGAGTCTCATGTTCCCTGTCACTAAAATGCAGTCACTGAAAAATTTGGCAGCACAAATTGTGCTCATCAGAGTAGGAAATATAGTAGTGCAGTGGGAGGTAACCTAGTGCCTTAAACTACAGCACCCACAATCCCTTTCCAGTGACCAGACTGCCTGGAGCTTATGGGAGTTGAAGGCAACTGGGTTGTCTACTTCCGCAGTTTGAAGTGTTGCTCTTATTCTTGGGGTGGGAGAGAGTGTCAGTGTGTGATAGTCCTCCATCAATCTAAAAAAAACTTGGTGCAGAGTCTTTCTCAGGCCTGGTACTGACCACCTAGTTGTGCTAAGGAGGAAAATCAGACTGCAGTTGAACTACAGGACTTCCACAAATGGTGCCTTGAGGGCATCTTCCAAGATCTGGGGTGGGAGAACCCACACCTTCTGCCTCCAACCGTAGTCTTCTCATGCACCCTTCTCCCCAGCTCTTGAGGGTGTCTACAATCTTTGTATAGATTCAACCTAGCCTTCTTCAACTTGGTGTCCTTCACTCATGGGGTCTGCAACTCGTGGAGAGGGTGACCCCCACTGTCTGGGGATGACACCAAGATGGGGAAGGCTTGATTGAATCTCTTGATCCTGCAAGCCAAGCTCAACTTCCTGGATCTAAATTGGTGAGCCTTTGTTGGAGCTGTTTGGTGTTGTTTGTGGGCAGGGTTAGGATGAGTGCCAGGAGCATGTAGATCAAAGGGTAGCACTAATCTCTGCTGAAATGGCTCTCTGTTACTAATCAAGTGGTGGTCCTGCTGATGTTTTGCAGCAGTGGGGAAAGGAAAGCTGTGTTGCAGCTGCCGAGTCACACAGAGGACTTCAATACTTAGTAATGAAATACAATTGCTATTTTATTCTCCTGACTTTCATTGACTTCCAAGCTCTTGTGTGAGATGTGGGATGCTGCTGCTTCATATCTCGTGCATTTTGGGGTCCGGCAGCTCTTCTTTCCACATAAGAAAACTTGAACCATGTATATGGGAGGCCATGCTGTACTTGCTCCTGGAGCCAGAGATCTAAAGGGCTTTGGAAGAGTGCTCTACGAACCTGAAGGAGAAGCTCTCATTGCTCTCTTGGGTTTGGGCACGGGCGAGCCTGGTCAATCCTCTGCTTTGAATGAAAGTGTGGGAAGCCAGGGAAGGTGCAGGCTATTAGAGAGAAGAGTGTGCAGTGAAAGGCAGGATGTTTGCACACCTCATCAATAAACAGGGGCAAGGATGTCACACTTAGTCCTTGAGAATTTCATCAAGACTCTCTTCTTCTTTGAAGGAACTTCTGAACCTAGTCATTTATATCAAATTGAATGAAAACTGGAGGGAAAAAAATACCGGATGCCTGTTGCATATAATGTGCCCTTGCTGTCCCAGAGATGCTGAACTTCTAGGCTAGATGTCATTACAGACAATCAAGAGGGCTGTGACACGATGACGCTCCTGTGGTTCTTATATTATATGAAGTGTTCAGACATCAAAGGAGTCCTTACAACCCTACGTTTGGCTGTCAGTGTGGGTTGTAAAAATAGGTGTGTCAGTTTTTCAGAAGGAAACAATTGCTTGTTACTCTGTCTGCCTTGATATATTAGCACACCTTAGTGCCTGGGCTCTTGGACGCAGTATGAGATTTGTGTAGAACCGTTGGTTGCTTCATTTGAAGAGCATGTTGTAATGCTGATGTGTGCCGCAGCTTCCAGCATTGTTAAAATATACGTGGAAGGTTTTGCTATCCTAAATTCCATTTTTGCCCCTGGCTATTCCTGGTGGAATGTACAGCTTTACAGATAGTCCTCGTTTAGCAACTGCCTCGGACAGTGATGTTCGCGGCATTCGCAGTTACGATGGTGATGAAAAAGTAACTTGCAACCAATGCCTGCATTTACAACCTTCACAGGTCTGTAAAGCAAAGGAAAGCTGAAGTAAAATGTGATGTTTCACTTAGCGACTGCTTCACTTAACGACTTAGTTGCCGGTCCCAATTGTGGTCACTAAACAAGGGCTTCCTGTATTAGAGTTGTATGTTTACCATTCCTTCCACTTTTCCATAGCGTTATGGACTGTTCAAGGGAAAAATGGAAGGAAAGAAGAGAAGAGGATGGCGAGCGGCAATGTGGATGGATTTCATCACAGTGGTGATGGATGCACTGTTGGAAGTTCTGAAGAGCTAGGTTGGGGACAGATGGTTGTGCAGAAGTGCTGTCTTTGTGGTCACTAAGAGTTAATATCAACTCTTGATGGCCCTTCATCAACCATGCCATTCACACATTCTCTGGATATGGGTTTGCTCTCTTGTGGGAAGAAATTCCTGACGGGAAGGATAAGGCCTTCCCCCAGAGTACTGCTACTTTGATGAATAGTCTTCCCTTTGCAAGCCTCTCTGGAATGCAGGTCTCCATTGTGCTGCTGACCAGGGTTCTGGATTCAAAATGCTCAGGACTGATTCCCACAAAGTTGGCCTCTGTAACACTTTTGATTTGGCTCTGCCCTCACTGAGGATGGGAGTGGCAGGAACGCCCCCCAAATCCTGGCTGAGTTGTAGCACAGGTCAGCTTTATCTGTGGAGTGAAGGGCCTGATATCTTTAAGACATCAGTTGTGGTCTGTGACCAGCGGCATCTTTCTATAATGCACTCATCTAGCCCATGCACAAATACATAGTCTAAGGAAACAGATATGTCCATGGAGGCCTTATCTGCTGGT